GTGTGTGTGTGTATGCATATGTTTTCCTGTGGTGCTGGGTATCAAACCTGGGTCTTGTGCATCTAGGTAAGTACTCTACCACTGAAGTATACTCCCCAGCCCCAATCTGAGGCAAGTAAATAATTTAACAGAACAAAATAAGTAAAGACATATGATACTAATTATATATCTGTATATATGTATAATAAGGCATGTATTCACTTGAAACACTGTTTTAAAACCAATACATTAAGTAAATGTAGCATGTAAATTTTTTAAAAATATTTTATTATTTTTATTTTATGTGTATGAGTGTTATGCCTACATGTATGTTAGTGCACCTGTGTTGTGCAATGCCATCAGAGGTTAGAAGAGGGGGTCGAATTTCCCTGGAACTGGAGTTATGGATGGTTGTCAGCCACCATGTGGGTGTTGGGAACTGAAGCTGGGTCCTCTACAAGAGCAGCCAGTGCTCTTAACTGCTGAGCTATCTCTCTAGCCCCTGCATATAAATTTTGACTTTGTTTCACTGTGCTGCTCTGACTGGCCCAGAACTTGTTATGTAGACCAGAGATGCACTTGCCTCTACCTCCCAAGTGCTGGAATTAAAGGAATGCACCACCATGCCTGACTTGCATATAAAATTTTATATTTAACATTATTTTAATTTTTTTAAAGGTGTATTTTTGGCTGGGCGTGGTGGCGCATGCCTTTAATCCCAGCACTTGGGAGGCAGAGACAGGCGGATCTTTGTGAGTTCAAGGCCAGCCTGGTCTACATACTGAGTTCTAGGACAGCTGAGGCTACAGGGAGACCCTGTCTCAAAAAGACAAAAAGAAAAAAAAAAAAGGTGCATGTTTAAATTACATGTGTGTGTCTGGGGGTGGGGGGTGGATAGGTCCACGTGAGTGCAGGTTCCCTCAGAGGCCCAGAGCCCCTGGATCCCCTGAAGCTAGAGTTATAGGCGATCGTGAGCAGTCTGACATAGGTGCTGGGAACCAAACCGGGTCCTCCAGAAGAGTAGTACACACTCTTAACCACTGAGCCATCTTTCCAGCCCCTATATTTAACATTATTAATATATTTTTGGGATTTATCTGGTATTTCTTTTTTTCAAGATAAACAAGAAAGTTCTGCTGAATGGCATATTTATATTTTTTTTACTTCCACTGGGATTAAAAGATACATCATGATGTACCTGAGATCAGCTGCATATTGATGTTCACTATTTTTAAAATGTAGTATTAAGGGTGTGTAATTGCTTAAGCCTAAGTATCCAAAAATAGACCCTGAAAGCTTACCTAGTAGATTTCTAAACTGGTGGCTGCACAGTACTAGCTGGGATTCCTAGCAGAGAGATGTCAGAGACAATCTGTGAGTGGAGGTTATTCAAGGTCTTTATTGTCACACTAGTTATTGTCCACCTTTTTCTTTAATGCTTAAATGTAATTATTTCATACAATGAAATAGGGATAATTTTAAATAACCAGAAAATTGTCTTGATAATACACATTTTTAAGCTTTTGCATATGTATTTTCTTTTTTTGTGGTGGTGGTGGACATGTGTTGAGACAGGGGTTTGCATGGAGCCCAGGCTGGCCTTGTGACCTTGCACTCACAATAGATCCTCCTGCCTCACTTTCCAATGGGATTACAGGGTGTGCCACTATGACAGCCTTGCCTCCGTATTGCATTCACGAGGCCTGTGGTATGATAGGTGTGGGTTGACCAGCCACCATGTGCTCTGCCTAGCTTGCTGCTGTTAGTGTTGCTGAACGTCACGTTATTTCTGAAGTTGTCCAAGATAGAATATGCTGCTCAGTCCTTTTACCATCTTCATCTCCAAGAAGAGAAAGCTTTAAAGTAAGTCTCCCACCCCACCCGTCTGCTTCCACCATGTTATTTCAGAAATGCTTTGTTGTAGCAGAAAATTTAATTTCAGAAATTCTGGTTGCTAACTCTCTTGTTAGCATACTTAGCTTTTTGTTTTTTAATTTAATTTTGTGTTTTGTTTGTTATTTATGGAGCACAATAATTTCTAGAAATAAAAGATTAGAAGCTGTTTTCATGATTTTCAAGATATCTTTTTCTTCCAGTTTAGCTTCTGATACAGTCTCAAGAGCAGAAAATATGCAAAAGGACACAGATCAGGCCCATCGTTTAAAAGGAGTTCTTCGAGAATCCATAGTGATGCTGGAACAGGTGGGCCAATGTGTACTGCAGTGCTTAACACCTCTGTGCTGGTGTGAGTCTGCTCTCTGTCCCTTTGGTTATGAAAGAAAATTTACTATACCATTATTTGGAGAAAGTTTCTGTATTATGTCTACTATTTATAGAGCCACCTGTTTTGGGTTTTGTCTTTTCAAAATGGAAGCTTACCATACATACTGTTGAATGCCCTCTTTTTTTCTATTAGTAATCTGTTTTTTAAATGTATCTATTTATACTTTTTGTATATGAGAGTGTGTCCTGCATTGTATTGTACTACATGTGTGCAATGCCTGCAAAGTCAGGAGGGGTTGTTGGATCCCCTGGAACTGGAGTTAGGATGGTTGTTAGCACCACATGGGTGCTGGAAACCAAACCCAGATTCGCTGCAAGAGCAACCAGTGCTCTTGGCCACTGAGTCATTTCTCCAGCCTTGTCTGTTAGTAATAGATTTTGAAGATGGTTCCATGTCCTCACATATACATCATCTTTATTCTTTATATTGATCCTTCTAGGTAAAATTTTACACTTAAATTAACTTTTTATAGAAATGGTAGCTGCTCTGTATACTGTTCATTATTTTGCTTTTATTATCTATTAGCTAGATACCAAAGTGCTACTTCTATATCAAAATATAAAGCATTTCCTCTTTTTAATAGCTGTATGCAGTTCAGTGTATCAATGTGGCTTAATTACCTTGTCAGAGTCGCCACTGAAATGAACACTTAGGTTATTTCAATGTTTTGCTATTAATATCTCTTGAACATTCAATATGTGCTGCTCAGGCCAATAAACCAAAATTAGGATTCCCTTTGAAAACATAAAGATTAATATTTCCATTATGAATATACATATGTTCACTTTTCAAAATTGAAAAATAGAGAATAGAAGAGTTCTACCATTAGATACAATCAGTGTTGGTATTTTCTTCTCTTTCATCCTTTTCCTCTATGCATGCGACTACTTTTGAAGAACATTCAATTGATAGGCATTTCTTGGGCTGCCACATGGGCACTAATGGGTACCACTAGAGCTAGGCAGTCTTCAGCTGTGTCATCTCTACACTTAGTACCTTTCTTCACTCCTTCATGAAGGTACACACCATGGTTTCACTTTCTTCTTCTTCTTCTCACACTTCCCTCTCACTCAGTGGATGACCATCCTTTATTGGCGAAGAGGAACTCTGCATCTATAAATTCTTTTTCTCCATTTTCTCTCTCCCGGTTCTCTACAGTTCCTATTAATTAGTCAGATGTCAGACACCTGAAGGGAAAAGATTTATGTTGGCTCACAGTTTGAGGTGTAAGTTCATGGTTGCTTGCTCCTCAGCCCCATTGCTTGGAGTCAATGAGGTTGCGCATCATGGCAGAGAGCAACAGAGATTGGAGAGAGGGAGGGTAAGGGACTCCTTGTGGACCAAGTTCTTAGCATGTAGCCTTTGTAGAACATTTAAGAATCCAAACCATTACATCTCTTCAGTGGGATGAGCTGTATAATCTTTTTCTTTCCAGCTTCCAGTTCTTTGCTTTTGTTCTATTTCTCTTTTTTCCCATTTTTTAATTTCATTTTTATTTTATGTATATGTTTGCCTGCATATATGTAAGTGTACCTGTGTCACGTAGTACCCATGGAAGCCATAAGAGAGTGTCAAATCCCCCCAGAACTGGAGTTACGGATGTCGTCTGCCACCATGTGGGTGCTGGGAACCAAACCTGGTTCCTCCGCAAGAACAGCTAGAGCTTTTAACCACTGAGCCATCTCTCCAACCCTTGTTCTCTTTCTGAGTGACATCCTCAACTTTATCTTCAAATTTTTCTATTGAGTCTTCTAATTTTTGCTAACAACTTTTCAGTCTCAAAGAGCTGTTTTTTCAAGTTGTTTCTCTTTTTTGTGATGATATAATCTTTTCTAATGACTACACTATTTTTAGTTCTGAGGTTCATTTTCTTTTTCTGACAGTTTTTTTCCCTTGCATATTCATTTTCCATCAAGATCCTTCCCCCTGGTTTTAATTTAGATGTGTGGGAGTCCTTAGGCCTCCTTGGTTTGCTTGTGTGGATCAGAGGCTTCAGCTGCCTGGAACTCACTCCGTAGACCAGGCTGGCCTCAAGGCTTTTAACCTCTTGTGCTGGTTGCCTTGAGCTCTGTAGATCTGGCTGGAATGGCAGTTCAGAAATCCCACTGGTGTATCTTCAGGTCAGTCTGCCAGGTCAGTGCAGACTCTTCTAGTCTCCAACCTGAAGGATTGGATTCAGAGCTGGCTGTTAGCATTTTGGGAGCTAGATATAAAAACAGGGATGGGGAGGGCAGGGCAGAAAAGATAGTCTAAGAAGTCTGTAGACTCTGCTATGATATTGTTCTTCTTAACACGTGGTGTCCTTTCAGCCAGAGACCATCCATTTTATCCAGTCCAGAACATAGAATTCTAGACTTCTAAGTCCTAGTAGATATCAGATGCTCCAAGTTTCATGCTATCTGATTTTGGCTCCTTTCTCCTGGCCACTAACACATAAGGAGGATTCTTTTTTGTTTGTTTTTGAGACAGGGTAGCAAAGATGGCTTTGAACTCCTGTCCTTATGCTTTCACCTTCCAAGCGCTCAGATTGTAAGATTGGGCCACAGGCAGGAGGATTCTTTGAGGTTAATTTTGTGACTCTTGAGTGTTCCCTATAGTCCTAGTTATTCTTAACTGTCAACTTGACCCAGTCTAGAATCACTTGAAAAAGGAGTCTCAATTGAATAATTATAAGGCTGATCTGTGGGCATGGCTGAGGGATTGTCTTGATTGATAATTGATGCATAATTGATACAGGAAGGTTCAGCTCACTGTGGGTGGTACCATTCCCTGGGCAGGTGGCCCTGGGCTATGTAAGGAAGCTAGCTAAACATGATCCCGAGTAAGCCAGTGTATGAGCCAGCAAGCAGTGTCCCTCCATGGTTTCTGCTTCAGGTTCCTGCCTTGAGTTCCTGCCCTGACTTCCCTCAGTGATGTCTTGTGACCTGAAAATGTAGGCCATGTTAATCCTCTCCTCCACAAGTTGCTTTTGCTCAGAATGTTTTTATTTTTTATCTTTTAAGATATTTATTATTTTTATTTTATGTGTATGCGTGTATTGCCTGTGTATAGGTAATTGTGCCTGTGTCATGAAATGCCTGAGGAGGACATAAGAGGTTGTGGGATCCCCTGGAACTGGAGTTACAGTTCCATGTTAGCTGTCATGTGGGTGCTGGGATTCAAACGTGGGTCTTCTGCAAGTGTTCTTAACGGCTGAGCCATCTCTCCAGCCCCCGCTCAGCATGTTTTTATCATAGCAACAGAAATCAAACTGCATGACCTATTATTAAAGATTCCGTCTTTTCAGGCCTGTGTCCTTGCATCTGCTTTCAGTTCTCAAAGCTGTGTTGCTGTTGTCTCCTTTTCTGTTCTTCCTGCCTTTGTGGATTTATGTCTTAGAAACAACAACCAAAACCAGTTCCTGCACTTTTAGTCTTGTTTTAGAAGCAGCAAAGTTAGATGTATGTATTTAATGCATTTGTTCACTCCTGCCTCTTTTTTCTCCCATAGTTTCTCCTATTGATATTGGTTAAGATAAAGTTCCCAATGATCTCTGGCCTGTAAAAATAATGTACCATTTTTTAATCTTCAGTGTCAGCACTTGGATGAGCTGACCTTTCGTTTCTTGAAATGTATCTAACCTTACCTTCTTCTTTTTTAAATTTTACTATTTTTATTTTATGTCTATGTGTATATTGCCTGCATGTAAGTAAGTGCCCCAATGTCGTGCAATGCCCACAGAGGTCAGAAGAGGCTGTCGGATCCCCTAGGACTGGAGTTACGGACAGTTGTTAGCTGCCATGTAGGTTCTGTGATTCAAACCCAGGTCTTCTGCAAGAACAATCAGTGTTCTTAACTGCTGAGCCATCTCTCCAGTCCCCTAACCTTACCTTAAAATCATGAAGGGCTGGGCTCCTCAGTGGAGTGCTTGCCTACCATAGTGCCTGCCTAGTCTGTGGAGGCCATGGGTTCCATCACCACCACCAAGCTTCACCCTTTTAAGGAACTTTTATTGTATTTACAGTGTTGTGCAACCATGACCATTATCTAATTCCTAAGTATTTTTACTATCCTCAGAGAAACCCTGAACAAATAAGCAGTCACTCTCCTTACCCTAGCAGCTACCAATCTACAATTACTATACATTTACCTTTTCGGGGCATTTATGGCTTGTTCAATATGTGGTGTTTTGTCACTGAATAATGTTAAAGTACTTGGATTAGAGCCATGTCTTCTACTGACATCTTCCTGGTGCAAACACCCAGGGCTCAGATAGGTCCTCCTCCTTCTCTACTACTCTCTCTTCAGGTGAGCTCATCTTCTCCTTCAACTTTAATAACCACATGTGTGCAAACCCTGACTTAGTCTGGTTGTGCTGCTTTGAAAAAAAAATCTTATATTGGCTTGCTTATAAACAACAGAAATTTCTCACAGTTCTGGAAGCTGGGAAGTTCAAGATCAAGGTCCTGTCAAGTGCTACATCTAAGGAAGGCCCATTCCTAATAGCTGGTGCTGTGTAGGTGTCCTCTTGTAACAGAAGGGACTGAAGGGCAAAAAAGCCACCTGGTTAGCTCTCCAGCCTTTTTATAAGAGTTCTAATCGATCCTTTTAAAAAAGATTTATTTTCGTTATTTTAATTATGTAAATGTAGGTGCCTATGGAGGTCAGAGGCCTTGGGTCCCCTAGAGCTGGAGTTACAAGAGGTTGTGAGCCACCCAGAATGGGTGCTGGGAACCAAACTTGGGTCCTTTGCAAGAGCAGTATGTGCTTATAACCACTGAGCCGTATGCCTAGCCCCCACTGATCATTCTTGAGGGTAAAGCCTTCATGACCTTATCACCTCCCAAAGGTGACACCTCTTAACGCTGTTGCATTGGAGATTAAGTTCCATCATAAATTCTGGAGGGGGCCCAAACATTCAGACCACTGCAGCCCTTAATCCACATCTCTCACCTTGACCCCTCCCCTGAGTTCTGGACTCATAAATGTCATTTGTTTACTTGATATCTTTACTTGGATGACTGACAAGCATTCAAAATGATCATGGTTCAAAGAGAATTGAGTTTGTCTCCAGGCAAAGACATAACTGTCCTTTAGTGGACATTTCAGAAACTGATACTATTACCTTCCAGTTACTCAAGTCAAATAGGTGGCAAGGTAAGTATATATTTATGTATGTGATTATTCATTTCAGTTCACTCCTCAGTAGTGTGTAATTGTATGAAGTCAGGGAGCCATTTTAACTCAAAACTGAGATCTCAATGCTTAGTCCAGCACCCTGCATGAAATAGGTAAGCAGTATTTGTTGAATGAACAAATGAATTAGTACAATAAAGAATAAGACACTTAGACACTTCTTTATCATTCCTTCCTTCTTCCCTCCCTCCCTTCCTTCCTTCCTTCCTTCCTTCCTTCCTTCCTTCCTTCCTTCCTTCCTTCCCTTTTTCCTCCTTTCCTCCCTCCCTTCCTTTTGTTCTTTTTGAAATAGGGTCTCCTCGTAGCCCCAGCTGGCCTGGTACTCACTATGTAGGCCAGGCTGGCCTCAGTCTCACAGAGATCCACCTGCCTCTGCTTACTAAGTGCTGGGACTAAAGATGTGTGCCACCATGCCCAGCCAAGACATTTATTTCTTGACCTCAAGTTGTTTACAATTTTATTAGAGAAATCAGACATCCATATGGATTGTTAAATCTATTTTTAAAAGCACAAAATTAAGTATAAAACTGGTAAATGGTAAGGGTAATGCTCTGGGAGTTTGAAGACTGGCTCTTTGGGGAAATTATATGGTGTTAGGGGGGTATTGGGTACATTTTAGATATGTGGGGAGGAACTTGAGTATAATGGGAAGAAGGTGGCCTGGCAGTGAACTTTGGGGATGGTGAAGAGATCACTGACCCTTGAGAAACTACCTAAGAAGACAAGCCTCTTTCACTTTGGAAAATTTGATTAATAGTCCTACTGGAAGTTGCACTGTATAGCAGTAGGAATTGTAGTACTCTAGCACTTGGGAAGAACTCTCTAGAATTCACATTGCAAGATACTCTGAAGAATCAGGTATTGTATAGTGTTTGAGTATCAGTGTGAGAAATGTTTGCCATAAACAGAAACATAGACTAGTCTGATGCTGATAATTCTGTTTGCAGCTGAAGAGTTCACTCATTATGCTTCAGAAAACCTTTGATCTACTAAATAAGAACAAGACTGGTGTGGCTGTGGAGAGCTAGAGATCTCAGCACTGAGCCTGGAGACACTTGGAGCTCAAAGAAAACATTTGGAAGAAAACCTGAGCGAGGATGAAGGATTTTAATCATCACAGGAACATTTCTACTTTTTAATTATTATTATTGTTTTGGAATTTCTACTAGGAACATTCTTTTTAATAACATTTATTTGATAATTATTCTCCAATGGCCTTAAGACTCTATCTTTTCAGTTCCTAGAGCTATTTTTAAGCTGTGAATTTCTTCGGTGAACCATGAAATATATTTTTTGAAGTGAAATTCTATAATACAGAAGGAAAAGGTGCACTCTGAATGATGTAGCTTCTTTTTGATGGTGAGGCTTGAAGTTTGATACTTTAAATTTATCTGTTGGTACACAATCAGTGTGCCAGGTGGATTGTGTTCACAGTTGAGTTTAAGAGCCTAAAAAAGTTAAAATAAGCAGACTCCTTGAAATAATTTCTAATTTAAAAGAAAATTTTGAGGGGTATGTAATATTTCCATGTTTGTGTCTTGTAAATATTACAGTGTCATCATTGTCTGAGCATGCAAGTTCAATGGTCAAACCTTTTGAATCTGCGTGTTATTATTATTATTATTATCTGAGAGATTTATCAGCCATGCTGTATCTTTGTGAGGAAAGGAAATATATATATATAATTGTGTGTGTGTCTATATATAAAATACATATATATAATTAAGGTACCAGAGGTGAGA